GGATTTTCTTCACTAAGCCTGGTTTACGAACGCAGTCAAAAAACCGCAGCCATAAATTTCGTTTTAAATGAGATCTGCATACATTTTTTTTTAATCTTTAGGAGATATATTGAATAACAAGTTAAATATATAATGAAATTAAATAATTCAAATAAGCCTCTAATTCATTCAAATAATTTCATACAAATTTTTCTATAAAAATAAACAGTGTTCAACTAATTAGCACTGAAATTGAAAATAATAATGTTTACAATTTCTTCCATATAACGCATTATCAAAATCTATTTTTGTATGAAAAAAATCCGGAAACTGGTCTAGAGATCAAAAATTGTGCGGTATTAAATGATACCTGGAAACAGGTTTAGAGAACAAAAAAAAAAGGTTTTTCAAGTTCAAAGGCCAAAGAAACAAAATGAAACTAACAGTTTGGTTTTCCTGAAAACGACTGCAATTATTACATATTACGTCCTGGTTTGGCGGTCTGGCCTTATTATATTAATCTCCCTGGATGTTCATCAGAAAGAAGTGACTATGAAATTGGAAGTAAAACTCAGAGAGAAAGTAAGACCTGTGGGGGACTAGACACTTCGGGCAAGCGTTGATCATTGATGAAATAGAGTTAGGAAGGACGGCAGGCTGTATTGTAGCATATTTTGATTTTAAATTTATCGTACCAGTGAAGAGGCTATCTCTTACTGTACTGTATAGTTACGGTGACTAGATTTCTGTGGACAAGAATCGGGATATTTCCAAAGCATCCAATTCGAACACACAATTTTGTTGTTAGATGAAAAAGGTATACTCTATCTTTTCATACAGTTTTATTTAGAGAGAATAAACTTGAAAAATGATCGCAAAAATTATGCACAAATATAACGGTGGCGAGAATGGGAAGAGATATTTAGGCAAGGTTTGGCTATTTTTGTTTGTTTAAAAAAAGTTTGTAATTTTTTGTAGAACATTTATAAAAATTCGACGAATTTTAACAAATGATTGTAAAAATTCTAAACACTTTTACCAAATTTTCATATGTAGTTTTGTAGCCCATTCAATTCAAAGCAAACATATGAAGTACCTTGGACTTGCCGTTGATTTTTGGCAATTTTTTGTCGCGCATTTTCTTCCATACAAAATATGTTCGAACATTTTTTTGTATGGTAAAAATGAGCAACACCTTCTGTTTAGCCTGGTTGTAGTAGGACGAAGACCTCGGAGGACGAAGACCTGAAGTATTCAAGATAGTAGAAACTATCATCGGGCATTGGCCCTGAAATATGCGGTAAGAATAGGGCTTCGCTGACCTTAGCTGACAACAGCTACAATATAACGAAGAAAGTATGAGATATGACACACTGGGAAAACACAAAGCAACACAACTAGCGGACAAATTAGGAGCTTACATAAACGAAGTAGGTAAATTTAACAGAGAATCCAGATGGTTCTACCCAGCAGTATAGCATTAACATAGGTAAAACATTTGCAAAGAGAAGTGCACCGGTTAGTTAGCTACTAAGTAAAAAGCACTGAAAGTACCCAAAAAGAAATTTTCTCAACATTGTTTAGCTTTGGAAAATCCACAACTTAAACTTAACTGTTCGAGAGGCATCCTAATGTTAATAAAACTAGCTCATTATTTTGAGATATGTGCATGTGCATGTGGTGATATCAGAAATTGGGGTTTCCCCTACAAAAAGAGGCAGGCTACCGAAGGGAAAGACTATCTGCTTCTTGTACTAACAACTGCGTGAGAAAATGGAAAGTGGACAATGAAATTTTATTAACAGAAAGTATGCAAATCCGTATTGGAATGGGAACCTTGTTACTAGCCGCTAGCACCAACAAGACTGTCTTAAAAAGTGTAAATACAAAGTAAAAGAGTTGGTCTTTCTTGAACTTAACCGAGGGACTCTTTGGTGGAGCAACAACCTCGCTCAAATAGGAGACGTACAAATATGATCTCTCTGCGTACAGTAAGGAGATTTGGTGTACCAAAACGAACTCATGAACTCACTCCAGATTTCTCAGAGTCCTTACAAAAACGCACATCAACAGACCAGGGCACCTAGAAGGACCTAATTGATGCTTCAGGAACAGCTGCAAGGGCATCTTTGTACCTGTTAGTCCTGGGTGTTTTACCACTATGCGCAACCCGAACAATACACACGCAGGCTGAGATGCAACGATTCTGCGCTGGGGATTGAAGAATTGCCTTCAGCGCCTCTCAACGCACCCGCAACAGATGGCATCTTCCCAACTAATCTCCAAAAGGAGCTCCCTCCTGTGCTACCCTTTTTAATATAGCTTTTCAAGAAGGCTATGCGTTGGGATGCCTCCTATTTACTGCTACTACGGCTCGATACGTGATTTCTACTAAAAACCATAGAATGAATCGTAGACAGAAAGTAAATCCATCCCCGCTCCTCACAGACTCACAAGGAAAGTCGAGAAGCCCATGGTGAACAAAGAGATGACGGCAGGTTTTTGCTGGCTGGAAGGAGAGGGTGCTTACGCGATTCCTAATTCTTTTTATATAAACATAAATACAAACGTATGCAAATAAATCACATAATTAACAGACACAATTTTTTATAGAATTAAAGCAACAAACATTTTATTTAAAACTGTATTACTCATTCATTCCAGAACGTACATCGATCCACACAGTTGCATTGCTCTGTGACTTTGTCGCATCATCCTCCGGCAACGCCTCACATTTACTATTGTCGAAGTTGAGTGAATAACCTGCATGACAGATACATTTATAGGGCGCTATGCAATCGGCATTGACGCATAGTTCGGCATCACAAACGGGTGCACATTTGCCCTCAGCCTGCACACGGTAACCCTCATCGCAATCGCAAATATTTGGTGATATGCAGCGTCCAAACTGACCACACTCCATCGAACAGATGGGCTCACAACCACCGTTCGTAGTAGCGATATATCCCTCCTTGCAGACGCAACTATTTGGTGCAGCACAGTATTCAGTTTCGGCGCACCCTGTTTCGCATTTTGGCTGACACTGATCATCAACCAACGAGTAGCCATCGTTGCAGATGCATTTATTAGGCGCTAAGCAATGCTCATTTTCGCTACAGACTGGCTTATCGCAAGTAGGTACACACTTATCGTCCACTCGCTGGTAGCCTGCGTGGCAAATACAACGTTGTAAGTGCAAATTACAAGCGCCATTCGAGCAATTTACGGGACATTTGAGTTTTTGACAAACTTTCGAGATCACTCCATCGACTAGTTCAATGTGGCAAGTTAGCAACGCGGCGTCCAGTGAAAGCGGTATGGCGATGAGGAAGCCCAAAGAGACAGCCAGATGTGGCGTCAGCATTTTTATAAAAAAAAAAAAAAAAGATTGTTAAAATTGTAAAGTGCTCTGTGTTCACTGACTGACATTAAATGACTAAGTTGGTGATTTGCAACGCACACACTCCGCACCATTTCAATTCATTATGCGCGATAAGAAATTGAGATTATTGCAGCATTTCATGAACCAAGCGTGTTTTTTTTAACTGCACTCATGCCTTGAAGATAACTTTTATTAATCAAATGAGCGCTATGTAAAAGTAAAGCTCTCATTGACGTCGCGACGTTGGGCTCAAAACTAAAGTAGTTGTACTACGTTTCATTTTGCTCTATGACATTACAGGCTAGTGAACCGCGCCTCTGTGTAAGTCTACAATAAGGCATAAACTAACCAAAGTTCAGAAGGTGCCGTACATGATGATCACAGGGGCTCTAGAGACCTTACATCACCTTATAAGCGTGCACATAAATGGGAAACTATAGACCAGTAGTAGTGCAGTAAAAATAAACACGTTGAAATGATGGACTGATACGAGGTTCGAACGCTCAAGAATTAGGGTAGATCTTTCTGCAGGCTTGGGTTTCTAGATTATCCA